TATAATTTTGTTAAAAATATTCTTCTTCTTGAGAGTTATTGCGCATGCGCGACTACCTTTTCAGACGTGCAGTACGGCCTAAATAAAAGTACGTAATATAGTTTGCTGCGGGAGCGAGGGGTGGGAGACTGAGGGAAGGTGGCAAGGAAGACAGCCGAGGGGCGGTGGAAGAAGAAGGAGACTGAGCATGCGACAAGAGAGACAAGGGGAAGGGTGGGCGGGGATGAAGTAGTAGTTTTACACCGTACTGGTTAGGGCGCTCTCCTAATTATGAACACAGGTCTACTAATAAAAATTTATTACAGAAACCTATGCTGAGATATGCCCTGACCAAATTAAATTCATATTCACTAGCAAATATAACTCCGCTGGTGAGATGTTGCCCTTGCGTTTACCTACTAACGTAGCCAGATTCTATACTGGCTGGCATATGGAACAGGGACCTTACATGAAAGGGCTTCTTCCCACATCTTAAGTGAGGTCTACTGATAGAATATTATCATAGAAATCTATGCTGGCATAGCCCCTCTTCATTTTAAATTCATAATTTTGCCAAAATATTCTTCTTCTCGGGAGATATGGCGCATGCGCGAGCACCGTTTCAGACGTGCAGTGCGGCCTAAATATAAGTACTAAATATAGCTTGCTGCGGGAGAGAAGGGTGGGAGACTGAGGGACGGTGGCAGGAAAGACAGTCGAGGGGCGGTGGAAGAAGAAGGAGGCTGAGCGTGCGACAAGGGAGACAAGGGGAAGGGCGGGCGGGGATGATCAAAGAAGTAGTTTTGCACCCTACTGGCTAGGGCGCTCTCCTAATTATGAACACAGGTCTACTAATAAGAATATTGGAAAAACCTATGCTGAGATACCCCCTGACCATATTAAATGCATATTCATTAGAAAATATAACTCCGCTGGTGAGATATTGTCCTTGCGCTAACATACTAACGTAGCCAGAATGTATACTGGCTGGTATATAGAACAGGGACCTTACATGCAAGGGCTTCTTTCCACATCTTAAGTGAGGTATACTGATAGAATATTTTTATAGAAATCTATGCTGGGATAACTCCTCTTCATTTTAAATTCATAATTTTGGCAAAATATTCTTCTTCTTGGGAGATATTGCGCATGGGCGAGCACCGTTTTAGACGTACAGTACGGCCTAAATAAAAGTACGTAATATAGCTTGCTGTGGGAGAGAGGGATAGGAGACTGAGGATAGGTGGCAGGAAAGACAGCCGAGGCGCGATGGAAGAAGGAGGAGGCTGAGCGTGCGACAAGGGAGACGGCGGGAAGTGCGACAAGGGGAAGTGCGGGCGGGGATGAAGTAGTAGTTTTGTACTCTACTGGCTGGGGCGCTCTCCTAATTATACACACGGGTCTACTGATAAGAATTTATTGCAGAAACCTATGCTGAGATAACCCCTGACCAAATTAAATGCATATTCATTAGAAAATATAACTCCGCTGGTGAGATATTGCCCTTGCGCTAACATACTAACGTAGCCAAATTGTATACTGGCTGGTATATGGAACAGGGACCTTACACGCAAGAGCTTTTTCCCACATTTTAAGTGAGGTCTACTGATAGAATATTATCATAGAAATCTATGCTGGCATAACTCCTCTTCATTTTAAATTCATAATTTTGCCAAAATATACTTCTTCTCGGGAGATATGGCGCATGCGCGACTACCTTTTCAGACGTGCAGTACGGCCTAAACAAAAGTACGTAATATAGTTTGCTGCGGGGGCGAGGGGTGAGAGACTGAGGGAAGGTGGCAGAGAAGACAGCCGAGGGGCGGTGGAAGAAGAAGGAGACTGAGCGTGCGACAAGAGAGACAAGGGGAAG